TTACTCAAAATGAAAACTGGAAAAGGAACCAACAAGAGTAATTTTTTCCCCAAAAAATGAAAAAAAGGAACTATATTAAAGAGAATTACGTGGGTGAATCCAAAACATGGTTCATAGATATGGCGTTGTACTTTATTGAACACATTACAAGAGTGAAACAACATGAAAAGACACGTCCTTTTCATCAACTGAAAGGTCATACCTACCACATTGAAGCATGAAAACTAAGCCTTTAGGTTTCACAGTGCATCTTGGCTAGTGCAAAAAGTTAATCATAAGTTGTATTTTCAATGCGAAATTATTTTTTTTTAGTCAATGCATTCATAATAAAGCAGATGCATGAATGCAGCACAATGTTACAAGAAAAAGACATGATTTTGAAATTGTCTAGACTAGTTAAGCTCGAAATCCTCCAACTTAGCCACAAGTGCAAGAGCAAAAATTGGTGAAAGCACAAAGCTATGGTGGAAAAAAGTGAACATGCATGAATACCATACCTTCCTGGATCTTCTTCTAGAGCCATAATTCATGAGTTCCATTATTTCTTCCATGGTTGCACCAGAAACATCCTCTTGTCGTTGCCGTGGTTTTTTAGCTGCAGGTACTTCCCTGCCACACCACCAATGAAAGAAACGAAAAGAACATAATATCAGCAGAGCATTGAGCAAAAAAGTTGGAAACTTGAGAAAAAGAAAAAACTTTTAAGGGGATTCCAATGGGAAGTATTAAATCACATGCCAAAAAATTCATTTCTTTCCTTCTTTAGGTACATAAGAAAACATTAATTCCTTTATGTGCAAAAAATTACAATGAGACAGACAGTTTCACAATGGTTCAATTGTTTTCAGTGAGTAGATGCCACCTTACTGATACCAAAAATTGACATAGGAGACTCAAACAAAGCCACACTTACTCTCTACCTCCCTAGGTAGGCCATCTAAGAGACCCAGCAATGCCATGGCAATATCAGGTTTTAGCTGGAGACAAAAGAAAGCTAAATCACCATTACCACCCACTCAAAATTGGAAACTCGCCAAGATTCCAAAAAATAAAGCAATGAAGAAAAAGGCTAGATCATCTGATCAAAGACAGCTAAATGAAGCTGTTAAGAAGTAACCAGGTAGCACATTCAAAAGAAACGAGATACAGAAACAACAAAGTCAAACTGCAAATATATATATATGCCAGTGTGTGTAAACTTCTATAACCTCAGCAAAATCTTCAATAAAACCAGAGGAAAAAGATAGCTCCTCTATTAGCGCGACCAATTCTTTCAAATTTTTACAATGTAGGTCGCCCTTATTTAGTTCCATCAACAACAACAACAAGAGAAGCAATCTTCTATAACCTCAGCAAAATCAACAGCCGGATGACTTGATTGTTTCCAAAATTTATTAAACATGTCTTATTGAAGCAAACAGAACACAATTTGCATGAAGCTCTTGATAGGAAACAAACGATGAATTTTCAATCAAAATCACAATAACAAGAAGACGGAACTAAATAAGAGCGACCTACGTTGTAAAAATTTGAAGAATTGGTCGCGCTAATAGAGGAGCTATCTTTTTCCTCTGGTATTATTAGCAATACTCATTCAAAGGACTTGAAGAAATAGTGCAAGTTGCTTTTGATTAGCAAATAGTCAGAAGGAGAGAGAGAGGGTACCCTTGGGGTATGGCTTGGAGACGGGCCTTGCGCTTTTTGGCAGCCAAAGCTTCATAGTCGTGCTCCAGGCGCTGGAATTGTTCGTAAGGCTGGAGCCCAGATGCGTCCTCTTTGGTAAAAGCCAGAGGATCCATGTCATCACTGAACCTGAATTTATACCCTTCTTCCTCTTCATCCTCATCATCATCATCTTCTTCTTCTCCTTCAATATTAGCCATAGTGTTAGCAGTAGTGCCTTCTCCTTCATCATCGACTTCATGTTCTTCTTCAATTGTGATTCCAATTCCATAGGATGCTCATCTGCATGGAACTCACTGCTGCTACCTACAACCCCAGCACCCTCGCCCTCCTCCATTCTGCTCTCCACCCAAGCGCTAATTGAACTCTGCAAAGGAAAAGCCAAAAGCCTTAGGGTCCGTTTGGTTGGACTGAAAATATCTTTCATATCGAAGTCATTTTCCTGGAAAATCACTTCCTTCTCCATAATATTCTGGTGTTTGGTTACTTAGTGAAAATATTTTCCAAATTCCTTTTTTTCATAATTTTCTGGTATTTGGTTTGTCAGTGAAAATATTTTCTGACTTCCTTTTTTAGTATTTGTTGATATGTTGCAATATTTCCTATTCTCAAAACATTCCTCTCATTACAAGTTGTTTTTAGTTTCTATCCGTTATAATCATATTATCATTTTTAGTACGAATCAATTGAACTTGTAAATAATCACAATAAATTAGCTCATAATTTGAATCGTATAATGATTCATTATTCAACAGTTATTCTTTTAAGCTAAGAACCTCAGTGCTAATGAACTCCTATAACTACCAGAAAGCAGCTTAAAATTTCAATAAATAAAGATATTTCAACCAAATGTTTTAGCCAAATGGAAACTGCAGGTCATATTATCCAAAAGAAACGTATATCAGAATATTAAAGAAAAATGACATAAACCACCAACAGATCAGTGCACAGGCTAAGTATCAACAAAAAGACACCCTGCAGCACTGCAAAGGGATGAAATAAGTCAAAAAGTAAAACAAAAGAGACAACACTCAAGATTTTAACAACAACACAATAGCACATAACAGAAATCAGATAAGCATCAACAATCTATCTCACATCATAGCTCTCCCTTCTTCTCCCTAGTTCCTTCACACCCCCTCAACATCCCTCTAATTGTTGTAAAAGTAAAATAAGTATGAGATTTTATTTCAAGTTTCTTTTTCTTTTAAATAAAAATTAAAAAAATTGATTGAAAACATATATATGAGAATTCTGAATACAAATTGGTCAATGAATTATTAACACATTTCCAAATGCAAGTGGTTAAGCATTTGTGTATTGAATCTTGTATTTATTGTTTTGAATTACTTTTAAACAAGTTGAATGTTGGGTGTCCAAATAAAAAATCCAACCCATCTAATGAATAAGGTGGATTGTTCTTACCTGACCCAACAAAACCCATAACCCAACAGACCCATCCCATCCTTTAAAATTAATTGGCGGGTTGTTGGGTTTTGGACTTTTTTGCCAGCTCTACTTATCTCGTTCAAATGTTGCCAATGTAGGAGCCTTGACAGAAAATAAGAGGAATCGATATTTGGTCACATGTCTACATGTTAATCATTTTTTTATAAAATATCATAATTTCATTAAAATCTATATTAATGGCAAAAATTACATCATCAAACATATACAGATATCAAATAACATATCTGAAGAAAGGATACTCCAAATTAGAAGAACAATAAAAATTACATTGTAAAGTTCCAAATTTAAAAAATGAGATAAAATAATTGTAATTTCACGAACATTTGTGCATGTTTCCAATCGCTTGTTATGCTGATCAACTATTTCAAGTCCATATATTATCAAATAACATATCTGAAGAAAGGATACTCCAAATCTGAAGAACAATAAAAATTACATTGTAAAGTTCCAAATTTAAAAAATGAGATAAGATAATTGTAATTTCAATTACATTTGTGCATGTTTCCAATCGCTCGATTTGCTGATTAACTATGTCAAGTCCATATATTATGATGAGATTTATCGAATAGATTCAAGAAATTCTAGATTTGATAATGAAAATCTAAACAAACTTAGATCTAATAAAAGAAAAATAAAAAAATTATCAAAAACTTTGACTAGAAATCCCTAGGAGAGAATAAACTCTCACTAAAAAATTTAAAAGAGAAGAAACTCTCACCATAAAATCCTAAGAGAGATTTTTTTTCAGACAAATGAAAAGAAACTATATAGAGGGCTCCTCCCATGGAAAAAGATCCGAAAAATCAGATATCTCTTCCATGGGAGAGTTGAAGGGAGTTTTTAGTTAGAGAGTTTTTTCTAGAGAAAAAGAAGGGAGGAGGAGGAGAGAAGGAAGAGTATATTTGTGCTTAGATGTCAATCATTTAAACAGAAAGAAATATCACCAAAATGATCTTGTTTCTTTAGCTTGAAACGTTTAAAATGGCAAGATGGTCCCAAAAAAAAAAAGCACTAATTTGCTTATTGAATTCATTTCGCCATTTGTTTCAGCCAAAAAATGTTCATGCACTGTTCAGGTGTCCATAGTTTCGGGAACAAAATTAAAGTAAAAACAATATTCCTGACCAAAAAATGTCACATGTCTAACACATGATTTTTTTCGCCCATTAACCTGAAGAAGCTAAAAGCATTGAAAAGAAAAAAAGAAATATATCTAACAAAGAAATAAAAAACTTACAAGACAGGTCAAAGCCGTACGTATATCAGTTGATAAAACAACTCACTAAATCCTAAGCACAATATGTCAGGTTCAATGACTATTTGACTTGCAATGCCTTATCAAAAAGATTAATGGAACTTTTTTTACAAGTATTTGCTGTGTACATTAAATATATTATTTAGATGTATGCCTGGGCACAACCACGGTTCAAGTTCGTACTTGAACCAAATGGGAACACGATCGGAGACCTTTGCAAATGATTTTTGTTCAACTTCTTCAAAAATTCGAACCTGAACCAAAACTGGTTTGTTCTTGTCTGGTGCGAACCATCCAATTAAAAAAAATTTGTCCTTTAGATGGTGATTGACAAATTTAATGATTTTTCATTTTCCATTTCATTTCCACTTCATTAACAAAATTGTATATCCTTTCTTTTATTCAAAATGTTTGATAACGAGTGGTTTTTTATTTATAGAATTTCTATCATCTTGCCTTTTACTAATTATAACATAAAATTTACAGTTTTTATTTAAATTCATTGTCTTTAGTTTACCTTTAGTTTTAATTCATTTTCCTGTTTTTTTCAGAATCAATATTGTAACTTTATGTAACTAAGTGTAACTGGAAGGAGCTACATGTGTAATCGGAAGGAACTGAAATTATAAACAATAAGAACCGAAACTAAAATTGGTGTTTCCAAAAGAAAACCGCAACTATAACCATCCTTACAATGTTCAACTCAAGTCTATTTCCAAAGGAACTCGAACTGAAATTTTCAAAAGACAAGCAAAACAGCGTTGATGAGTCAAATAATTTTGCTCCATTTTTAGTCAAATAATTCTGCTCCATTTTTACTTGTCAATTCGTATCTGTGATGATTGAAACTGGTTTTGAAAAACATATTTAGAAAGGAAAAGAGCAACAATCGCAACCATTGTTTTAGGAAAAGAAAATAGGTTAAATTACCTTTAATCTCCATGTGATTTGGTACTTTACCACTTAAATTCCCTATCGTTTAAAAACTATATATAACTTCCTCATCATTTGGATTAATATGTCATCATTAGTTTTTTTGTTAAAATTGATGGTCGATAGTAAAAATTCAAAATCAAACAAATATATTGACAAAGTTACCCTTCTATTACTTCTTTTTTTCCTCAAAACATAAAAAAGAAGAAATTAAAATAATAAATAATAAATAGAAAATATCATTAAAGATTTGATTTAAAAGCTTATAATGATATTTGTGGTAAAAAATGATTTGGTATTTTTTGTTTCTTATTTATTTGTTTTATATTTTCCTTCCATCTTTTTTGTTTCTTATTTATTTATTTTTTATTTCCCTTTCTTCTCTTTTGTATTTGGAAAAAAATTAAGATTTTATAAGCCAAAATATAGGTTTTCATAATCATCTCTTCTCTTCGCAAAAAAAAAAAAAAAAGAAAAAGAAAAGGGAAAAAAGAAAAAAAGGTCGTGATAAGTTGAATTTGTCAAATTATTATTTTGATTTTGACTTCTTACTATTGACCATTGGTTTTGATAGAAAAACTAACTGTAGCACTTTAATACAGGCAATGAGGGAGTTATATATAGGTTTTTAAATCATAAAGGATTATATGATAAAGTATTAAACCACAAGAGGATAAAGGCAATTTACCCAAACAAATAGCTCTCCCAGGAAAAAGACATTAAAGATTGATTATGTCTCTGATAAGTGTTTATTATATGTGTATTTTAAGTAGCACCATGTGTTTATTTTTGGTATAATTTAGGATTTTTACGAGATAAATTGCTCTCTAAACTTTTAAATTTTGCAAGTTTCATTTGAACAGTTTAATGTGTAAATTTGGTTATATTTGCAAGATTTGAAACATGATATAAACATTGGATCGAGATGGATTCATTTGAACTCATTTAGTGTATGATTCAACTACGATTTGGAAAGTAAAAGAGCATCCAATGCAAGTATTATTGGTGCAATGCATGAACAAAAATAGGGCTATGACGTGCGCGGAGTATACATATACAATTAAGCTCATCCTAATCAAGTTTTACATTTATAAACTCCTAAATACCCCACACGCGATTTATCGCAAGTATACGAATCGTGAGCGAGTATAGGGTATTAAGGGTCGATCCCACAAGGAAGATTGCAATTACCGGTACTACTAAAGCTTCTCTATTATTTAGACTATCAATGAATTATAAGAAATTTAACCTACTGAAATTATACAAAATAACAAATAAAAGCTCCTTAGGTTGTGGTATCCCTAACTACTCATGCAAGTGCTATATTTGGATCATTGAATACTACATCTAGGCTAGTTATGGTGTAATTTCCTTAAACATGTGAAACCTACTTTCGTAGTGAATCAACTATACTCATAACTAATCCATACCTATTTTCATGGTTATGAAATTAGCTACAAGTTCATTTCTTCAATGAAATTACATGAAATGAATCACTAAAAACCACATAAGTGCACCTCTACTTTCGTGAGTGTACTCCCTATGTTTAGCACTTCTTGAACTAGTGTTAAATCTCAATTTTCATTGCAGAAACAACACCTTAGATAATCACAATTAATGGTACCAGATTAATCATGATTTCAAGAGCTAAAGTGCTAAATAACTTGCTCAAATCATAGCAGTCAAATAACCAAATAATAAACACTAACAATTATAGAAAGTTCAACCAAACCCAAGGTATAAACTTTAGAAACACATATTGAACACAAAATCCAGAACTTGTATATTAACTAAACTTGGAATCAAAT